GGGCACATATTCCAGTGCTGTAAGCATGCCACTGTGAGACCACCAACCAGTGAACTCAGCTACTGCTTGTCTAAAATAAGCCACCTCTCCCTTCCAAATGGTATCTGAGTGAGTTAGCTGCACCAATTTAATGCAGTTCCACAGGGTTTAACTTTGAGGAGAGGAGGCAGTGCTGCTTGGGCATCACAAGGAGCTCATCGCTGATACAGCTCTGCTTGTTCACACGCCATTTAAACGCTTCCAGCTTTCCAGGATCCACCCTCCCCTATCAAACTGATAACATGTTGGATAGTTCTGCAAGTTCTGTACTACATCTTGGTTATCCATTGGAAACTTCACTGTCATACCAAGACTATTAAAGAAAAAACAAAACAAAAACCAAAACCAACAAACCCAAACAGATCTTAAGCACTCATTATATTTTTGTATTATTTTTAATGAGAAAAACCCCACAACAAACTACATTAATATTTTAATTTATATTAAAATAATAATTATTAATATTAAATATTAATTAAATTAATTTACTATTAGTTAATAACATAAATGTAATAATTTTTTTAAAATCCAGCTTACTAGTGTTTGCTTGTGGGGTTTTTTTCACCCTAACAAAACTGCTAAGCACTTAGTTTGCTGCAGAAAATGGCTGCTGTTGCTTTTTCACAGTAGCACAGTAGAAAAGCTAAAAATTAAATATTAATACATTGAATATATTTTCAAGCAAGCTTGCTCAAGCTTAGATCCATCTTTTTCTTTTAAGAGTCTGCTGTAGTTAAAAGAGTACAGAATTTAAACACAAAAGTAAGATTACCACAGAACCGCTTCTGATTTAGTTTTAAAAACTTACTATGCTTTTTAAATGCAAAAATATCACAGAAGTAGTTATTTGGTACAAATAATTAATGAATTCAGAAGAAGATTATGCAGGAATTCAAAACTTTATAAAGTGAAAATATTTTCTCCATTCAGATAAAGAAATTGCTTGCAGCAGTTCATTTAAAACCAATTCCTGTCAAACTCTCATTAGAAGGACATTCTTTAAGAGAAAATAAAATGACACACTGATTCATTGACTAGCACGTTTATCAGGACATGCTGATAGAGGATCATTAATCAAGACTCTCTACTAATAGAAAATCATTAGAACAAAGCACATCAGCAGCAATGCCTCTTCAGTTATCAGGCCTCTCTTTAACCAATAACTAACCTTGAGGCCAGTTTCTCAGTTGCTTTCAAAGCTTCTATGACATAATTTATTCAAGACTCCTGACACAATGCAGTCCTTCAGTATCACAACATCAGCTTGAAAATTAAGTGCATAAAGGTGTAGGGAAACAAGGGCAAAGGGGACTTCTTACTGTGAAAGTACTGAGGCACCATGAGTTTAAATTCACCCAAATCAGAAGTTTTCAAGACAAATGCTAGCATTATTTATTCGTTTCTATTACCTCAGTTCAGGATATATCTCAGTAGGATTTGGATTACTTTAATAAATAATATATGCTTCATTTCGATTTTTTCAGTGTACCCTCCATGCCATTTACTCTGTCATCCAAACAAAGCCCATGATGTGTTTGGACAGCCAGACTAGCAGGTGGCACAAATGGACCCAGGTTCACTGAATCCACCTGTGTGAACTCTGATGAAGCAATGCTCTAAGCAAAATCAGTGGCAGTCTAGAGAGCCCTGAAAATTTCCACAACAGGCAGAAAGCAATGGAAATAATAAAAACTGGTTTTAATACTTATTAATGATGCTTTACAGTTAAAACAAAGCACTTCACTTACAACACCATCTGTAAACTCTGAAGAGCCTCCAGCACAGAGAAGCTGAAACAAGAATTCAGAAGCAGAACCAGGTAAAACTCAAGCTTCCATTGTTCAGTGATGGCACAGGAGGTTTCAATACATGATTTTTGACAGACTGTTTTGTATTGACATACAGGGCTAGATTCTTCCATGTTTTCTTCTCATTACTTTTTTTTTCTTATTCCCTTTTTTAAAGTTACATAATAGAACGGTAATCATACTTAGCAGCAGCTCCCATTGTTTCTTCAAGTGGCTATCTATTAAATGTAACACTCAGAAAATACAGCTAGTTGTATTAGGAATACCTGCTATGTTTTTTTTTTCTAATTGAGCTTTCTAGAATTATTCAGTCTTCCAAGTAAATGAAGGCAATTCTATATTAAAAATTCCTTTGTCACTCTTATAATTTAACATATTGCCTGCAACAAAAATTGTTTGTAGATGTCCTGACCTTTAACGTTTTATACATTCTATTTTCAATTACCATAAACATCTCCCAAATAGCGCCTGGCTTCTGTCCTCTATGGCTTCTTTTTAATCCTGTGCTGATTTTGTATATTGAAATCCTAAAAAATATATTTTAAAAATTAGAATACCATATGAACTTTCTCAGTATATAGCAGACAATTAATATTTATGCTTTTTACTGTTGTTTGGCTTTAGTTTGGCTTTTGTTATTTGTGGTTTGGTTCATTAGTATTTTTTTTAAATCTTAGTGCTTTCCAGCAACCAAAAACCCCTACCAAAATTCATATCACTTTGTCTAAAGCAGAATGAAAATCAAAAGGCACTCAACTACAGGATGATATATACAAATGTGTATTTAAAGTACTTCTTCCTTATAAGAGATTCTATTTCCTTTTCACACAAGTTCTCAAATCCCACTGTGCCCTCTGAAAGCCTGATTTAATTGTAATAGGACACCAGTAATAGATTTCCCTGGTCTATCCAATGGGGCATAGGATTTGGGAACAAACTAGAACTATTGTTATAATTATTATTTTACAGATTTTAAATATATACTACTGCTTGAATATTGTTTTCTCTCATAGGGTTTGAATTTGATGAGCAAACCTTACTTATCCTCTAAATTTCATTCTGCAAGCTACTGTGGCAAGGTTAGAAAATCCTTTAGGTTTCACATCCTGTATGATGGCATTCAGTTTACTTCCTGATGCCCACCTCAGCTTTCTTATGGTTAGAAAGAAGCAGTGGAGTAACTGTTTCTAAGATTTGAGAGCCTATGTGAGCCTTGAGTGGATACAGAGGTGAGAGGAGGATGAGGATGCACTTACACAAGGTACATTCTCTTTGCCTGAAGATTTTGACTGCAAAAAGGAACAGTTCTAACAAGAATGCCAAAGCAGTGTTTTTAAAATTGTCAGGACAATTTCTTAAACAACTGAAGACGTCATCACACCTTTCTATTTTGAAGTCTGGCCTCAAGGGAAACACTGTGGATTGCAATGGATTTTGTTCTCCTGCTGGTGGACACAGAGAATAAATGCAGTAAAATAGCAGTAAAATTTAGTGGAGCAGACATCTGCAAAAGGAGACATAATCCTACAGTATTTACACATATGGGATAGACAGTTTTGTCTGTTTAAAGAAGTTAGCTCTTCCATGAGACTCGTCAGAAAGCCCTGATTTCATGATGCATCAGTGCACGCTCAGGATGTATAAATAGGCTAAGAAAAGTATGGCACATTGCTGATAAGGAAAAAGAGAAAAGAAAAGGTCATGTCGTTGAAGCAATCTGCTAATTTGGAAAATACAAAGCTTGGTTAGAAAACAACACAGAACTCAATAAATACCCAGGGCAATGCTTTGCAGAACAGGTGCTGGATAACCCATTAAACAATATCAGGTTTGTCCCCTCAAAAGTTGCAGGTGGAAACAAGCAAGGTGATGCTCTTTTTGCTATTTATCTGGCTCCCTGGTTTCAGAGTTGTATGGTTACTACATGGGAGGCATAAAATTTCAAATGCAAAGCCAGCTGAAATTGGTAACAGAGAAGCAGGCAGAAAATATCCTTCACAGGAGAAGAAAATGTGTCTATTTCTGTGTGCAAACAACCATTTTCACAAAAAATAATAGTAACCCGTTTTTCTGGCGAACATCTCTATCTGCTTTTATGGGATATTTAAACCCAACTTTCTATTACCAAGTGCAATTTTAGAAACTGCATTGTTTCTATCTTAGTTCATTACAGCAATTAAGCATGCAGTAAGAACAGCCTTGACTAAATGCCTTATGGCATTAGGCAAATTAATATTTGCCTCTTCTATTCCCTTTATTTTTTTCACTACTTCTGCATCCTTCTAAGAACTCTGGCATCTGGAGCAGAAAAGGGAAGATAACTTTCATATATTATCTTTTCTAACCTAAACACTAGACACAAATTTAGAGTAATAAACATTTACAGGCAAATTTTAACAGGGGCTAAGCAACTATTCCAGACAATTCAGTATTGCTCATAACCAATCTCTGGCATAAGAACCATATCTAAACCCTCAAAAAGGACAAGAATGAGAGAGTGAAGATTTAAACCTCAATTGCTCAACTTGATTTTTGGAGAGAAGACTGGACTGCAATTTCTGGTGTGTTAAGGAGTAGTCAGTGGAACATTCTGCTACCCAAATTTAGTTTGTCAATGTGTTTAGCCAAATAAACAATGAGTGCTTTGGATCTCATTATTGTATGTCTAGACACAGAAGCAATAATTCAGTTATAATATGAGGAGCCTTGCTTTCAATATTATTGATTATACAATACTTAACAGTGCTCACAGATACCATAATCAGATTAATTGTAGGCACAAAACAAAGAAGCATCACAAAAACCAAAACTGACAAATTATTTGCAAATATTTTCTCCAATTGATTTCTTTACCTGTGTTTTATAGTATATTTGTAACACAGCTACAGTAATCTTATTCTTAAATACATTGTGGTACAAGTCTGACCAAAAAGAACATTTGGTTGGAATCTAATTTGAACTAGATGCACTAAATGAAGGTGAAAATGCTTTTAAGCTGAAGGGAAAGATAGCATTTCAAGTTGTGTATCAAAATTTTTTTACACAGCTCTAAAACCATCCAAAAAGAGAAAAGTTCTATACAGTTATTTCTGAGTTTAGGTTTCAGTTCCTTCTCTGAAGCATTTAATATATACGTACAGAAGCAAAACTCACCACAGACACGGAAGAGAAGTATATATCATGTTTCAAAAGACTGTATGTCATCCAACTGGTAGTCCATTATACCATCGTCCGATGAAAGACTTTGCCATAACCATAAAGATCTTAAAAAAAAATAGAGAAGTCAAAACATAATCACACACAGAAGTTAAAACTAAATGTTCCTTATTTAAAATACAGTTTCACTGCTGTTTAAAGTATACTTTTAAAACAACAGTAACAAAAGATCCTGTTCTCAATCACTACCATCCAGCAAGAGATGGATATGTATTCTTTTACAACCACTGCAATGGTATTTGCTCAGGTACTCATTTGCAATTATTTTACAGATTTTTTTTTTTTTTCCCAGCTGACTTCAGGATCCATATCTTTTTTTCAGTGCTGTTTAATAATGGCAGTTGTATGCATTGGCACTTTCTCAAAAGAATATTTTTCAAGTGCTATTTTCTTTTTTGTTTGATTTATGCAGGACTCTACCACACATTTTCTACCAAAACACAAAATCCACATGCCAAAATTATCTACAAAGGTGGGTGATGGGGAAGACAACTGCATGAGAGCAGGCAAATGACAAAGCCAATACCTCTAAAACAAGATACAAGATACTACTCTACTTGGGTTAACAGCACATGCAGAAAAAGGGACACCCACTACCCCATCAACAGCAAGTATTAATTCCTTGTTTCACTTTTGCTAAACACAAAGGCCAGAGTGCTACAAAACTTGCCTGAGGATCTGAACCCAGAGTTGCATTTTTTTAAACACTGGTGATGGGCAGAACGATAAGAGAGATGGGTTCTAGGCTGAGTGGCTGTATAGCACAGAAGCAAAAGCCAATGGAGCTTCACTGAAAAAATTTATATCAGCAATTTTCAGGAATCTTGTTTTCTCCCAATTAATTCTTAGTAGGCATCCTTGATAGAATTTTTATACAAAATGGTTTTTCTTTTATGGTTCCTCAAAGTTCTCAGAAAGTGCTACAATTTAAACTGAAACACAGGCTCAAACCAGAAAACCTGATAAATTTGGGGTTTTTGAGTTTTGTAGTTAGTGGGTTTTTTTGTTGGGGGGAAGAGGGGAGGGGTTTGTGTGTTGGTTATTTGTTATTGTTGTTGTCTGGTTGGTGGTTTATTTGGATTTTGTTTCCTCCAAGCAAAAAGGTATGGGAGGCTTCTACCACTCTAAATGTATCCCATTTCAATAGATTGAATTTAATCAGATTTAAATATTTACTCTCAAAAGAGGCTTTCAATATTAATTATATTTAATGTCAAATCTTAGGTTAAAAGAAAGTTAGGATTAAAGCGAAAATGTGACCCCAGCACAGTGGTTTCTCTCTCATGGAACTGTTTTTAAGTCAGATGTTCCAAAACACACTTTTCATCAGATAGAGAATGAGATTTCATGAGATTTCAGGTATCTCTCTGAAGTGAGGTTTTACATTATCCATAGAGCTGCAAAGAACTTAAAAGCTAAGAAATTGATTCTCTTTTCACCTTTTATGAGAACAACTTGGGTAAAATGAATATAATTTTCTGACATTTTCCCACAGACTATTTTTGTCTGCATCAATCACACTTTTCTTTTGACTACCTTTTCTGCAATTTTATGTCTAAATTCTGTTGATAATTTAAGGACAGTAACATGACCCTTCCAAACATTTAACCCTCTTACCCTGCTCTTCTCCTTAAAAACCCACTAAAAATGCTGAATGATGGGTTCAATTGAGTGTACATGAGTAGAAAACATCATCACCCACATAGAATAACCAAATCTTATGCAGATTTTTTTCATACAAGGGAATTCAATTCCTAATTTTCCTAACCATGAGAGTATTTTATCATGGTGGAGACCAGCACAAAAGTCAAAACAAATATGCTTTGGAAAAGGCATTTTACATACAATAGTTTTTTTTTGTATGTGTTCTAAATGTTTTTCTGTACTCATTTTCTAATTCTCTTTCACAGGACAAAATTACGTATTTTCAGGTATAGTAAACTTTTTTTCAAATAATCAGCAACTTTTAGCAGGTTCTACAACAGGACCTGCTACATCTCACATCTCTGCTATCTTTTCAGCACAAATGAACAGGAGTGAGGAATTGGCCCAATACAAGAAAAATATGTGAAAAGCTGGTTCTTTTTTTTTTAAAGGCAGGTCTGTTTTCTCCCCTTAGAATACTACTGAACCCAAAATACTCCTGAAATGGATGAAGTATGTGCAGGGGTAGGCACAGAGAGAAGATAAAGTGCCTCACCTGCAACTGTTACTACTGAAACACATGTCAAAATTCACCCTTGTTTGGAAAAGTATTTTATTGGTAAAGACAGTATTTTAAATCAGTATTTAATATTTACAGTTTTTCTATGCCAATGCATTATGCAGTACAAGCTTTTAAAAATTTAGGCTTTCAAAAGACAAAATGTAATTCATATCAAATGTGAAAAATATGTGAAAACAGAATCAATACATTTATTTGGGGTCTTTTACATGACATTATCTTTCCCAAAGCCTGCAAGAACCATATCTTTATCGTAAGATCTTTCCATAACTTATTTATATAAAGTGATCTATTTGTTATTTCATTCATCATTTTCAGCTGTGCACCTATGACAAGGCACCAGCCTTGCCCTGACAAGACAGTAAGGTGGGCAACCAGATAATTAGTTTTTCCTTGAACAAACTTAGAATTCCCTGAAGGACTTCCTTCCAGGTGATGAAAGAACTGAAAAACAAAACTATACTAAACAAATTACCCCAAACAACAACATTAAAACTAGGCAAAAACCTGTAAAGTTCAGCATTTAAGAAAACTGTGAGGAGACAATTTCCCACTCTCCTAGTTCTTTCCTTTAAAAAATATAAAATTAATGTGAGAAATCAGAGCATTTTTTACATTAGTGTAGCTTTCCTTTGCTATAAAGCAGTATATTCCACAAAATTTTCAGGAACATTGCAGATTCTTCTTCAGAGTGTGAGAAGCTGTAGAATGTAGAAAGCCATCAATACGTACAATGAACAGGGCCTGGTAAGGCAACTGCTGCAGTTGCATTACAATTTCTGAAGAATGACACTTTTATTTAAGTAATTACTCTGTCTTAACTTGGAGGTAAATGCTGTTTAAAGTGAATGCACTCACATGTCAGTGGACTAGCTACAGAGAGATGATCAAGCACTGCGACTCAAATACAAGGGAATCGACTTACTGCTGTGAAGTGCAAAGTTATTAAAACATTTTAACAGAAGCCCCTGACCATCATTCAGTCATATGATTGAGGGGTTTTTCTTGCAGGACTAGATTCCTGAGCTGCACTTAAGGATGCTTTAGTGACCAATGTAAAAAGCTGGAAATGGTGTTTACACATTCTGATGACAGCCTTAATCCATCAAGAAGATATCTGCAGAGCCAAAACAATACAAGTTTTGGCCGTCCTGTGGTATTCTGACTGCCCATAAAATAAAAGGCCATAAAAAGACTTTGATGTTTTCAAATACTTTAAGAACATGCAGGAAAAAAATAAACTTCGCAAGGACTAACACAGTTGTATTGTTTGAGTATGCACAAAACCAAATAAGGCATTATTCCCTACAAAGAGGCTTTTTAAGGAAGCTACTAAATATTAACAGAAGTGACAAAACACCCAAAATACAAACAACTAATCTGTAGCCAGATCTTAATCTGTTTCCAGCACTTAAGTGTTTTAGGTGGACAGTAATAATTTATTTGTGACTTCTCTACTAGCCACAAGACAGCTGAATTACAGTCTTGGAATTACATAAAAAGCCGCAGTCTGTGCACCATTATATTGGGATCACCTGTCCCTTCAGCCTGCTCCTGCAAGATCAGCAGTGCTCCAGCACAGCTACAGGGGCTGACACTAGTACCCACCTCAGCAACAAGGGCAGCCTACTTCGAGAGCAGAGCCTCTACAGTCCGTAAAATACAAAAGGAATGAATTTGAGAAAGAAGTAAAAATTCTCTCCTAGCCTGACATCTCAGAAATGTGGAAAGAGTTTCAGGCTGTGCACGTCTCACTGTCATTGCCACAAAAGCCCTTCTGAAAAACAGCAATTTCCTGAGTGTCTTATGCAGCTACACAAGCACCCAGATGGAACGCAAACTAGCAATTGATTTCATTAATTAGAAAAGTTGCTTTGAAGGAACTGAACATTACTGACAGAAGCAGTTTGCAAGCATTGTTCTCTAATGAAATCTAAACCATCATTTCAACAATGGCAAAGGGTTTTTTTCCTAACAAGCAACCCACACCGAAATCTAATTAGAAGCCATAGGTACATAGCTGCACTTCACACTCAGTGAAAGGCTCATCTCCAACAGCCAATTGCAAATGGCTCAGCTGGTACAGATAAAATTAACAAGTCATTCACACACCCTCTATTGTCAGCTTACACAAGGCAGTCCCAGTGCTGCTTATCGGAATGGGCAGAGCAAAATGTGGTCATTCCCACAGCCTGCCTCTGTTGCTTTGCAGGCAGCCCACCAGGCCACCGTGCATGTTGGAGACATGCTTGGATGCTGGATACATGAATTTCCATTCCTTAACACTGAGGAGAACATTTTTTGTACCAGCACCTCTAATTGTAAGCATAATTCTTGACTCCCGTTCTTTTTTTCTTTCAATCAGTCAAACCAGTGGTTACTACCTGGTATAACATAACAAAAGGAAAACACAAAAACCCAACAGTGCTGCCAACTACACACTGTGCAAGGCAGGCTGGGCACACCGTGTAAATGCACACAGGTGCTAAAGAGCTTTCATGACAAAAACAAGTAAGCTACATGTGGTTTTCAGTCATGGGCTATATTCAAACTGATTGCTATTTATACAGTTTTCCTTATTTAAATGAAAACTTCTCATCAGGCTAAGTTCTACTAAAATTTGCATCAACAACATGCTAAATGGCAGGTGATTATTCTAACACACTGAAAACCAACAATATATTAATCATTTGCAAAAAAACTTGGATGCATTTGCCCCCTTAAAATGATCAAAACTAGACTGGATTCAAATGATCAAGAATTTTGGCCCCTAAAAACTAATGCAACTTGTTTTAATCAAATTTTGTTTTATGTTATGAATGT